AGGGCTTTCCTGGAGCACATGGGGTGGCTCCCAGGACTTTCCTGGAGCACATGGGGTGGCTCCCAGGGCTTTCCTGGAGCACATGGGGTGGCTCCCAGGACTTTCTTGGAGCTCGTGGGGCGGCTCCAGCCCAGCTCTGCTGCTCAGCACGGCACATTCGGGACAAATCACTGGAGGAATTTCCATTTTTGCATCAGCTTTTAAAGCACTGCTGAGGTGAACCATAAATGCAGCCGATGTCACACATCCCTTGGGACCACGGCTTTCCGGGGTGGATCGTTCCAGGGGTTTTGGGGGGAAGCACAAGCCCCTTCCCAGGGGCTGCCCATGCCGAGGGCTGACCTGCCTGGGCTGCCATCATGAGGGCCGTGTTGCCGTCGTTGTCCTGCTGGTTGACGTTGATGTAGGGGCACTTCCTCAGCAGTGGCACGATGTCCACGAAGCCCTTGGCGCAGGCGAGCATCAGCCCGTTCTGGAGAGGGGACAGCACTCGGCACAGGCACTGCACCATCCTCCCACCCTGTTCTCCCATGACCCCCCCAGTCCTGCCCCCACCCCAAACCAGGCAGACTCGGGATGGAAGGTTCTGCTCCAAGGACTGGGTGGACCCCAGGAGATCCATCACGCTCAGGCCTCTCCCTCCTGCCCCACCGGCTTTAGCAACCACCAGGATTTGCCTATTCCTGGAAAATCCTCTTTCTTCTCTGCGGGGTGCCCCTCCCAGCCACTCACCCTCCCGTTGATGTCCAGCTCCGTGGCCTCGCTGCGGGTCACCCCAGACTCCAGCCTGTCCCACACCAGCTTGGCATCATTCCTGGCACAGCACTGGTACAGGGTGAGGAACCCGGCGCCGTCGGCCTCCGCGGAGGACTCGTAGCAAGGGTAGACGGAGTCATCAGAGAAGATGCTGCTGCTGTCCGAGGGCTCTGAGGGCCCCGAGGACTCCGACTCCTCTTCCTCATAGTACAGCTCCGGGTCGGAGTCATCCAGGCTGGCGTTGGGGGCTGCAGCACGTTCTCCTCCACCGCAGGCATCTGTCATCCGGCCCGGCCGGGGGGAGCGAGCCCAGCCTGGCCCCGCGCCCTGCCTGGGGCCAGGAGCCTCTCCCGGGGGGACAGGGGGGCTCTCGGGACTGTCACTGCCCCTGTGCAGACACAGAGCGGGCGTGGGAGCCGTGTGGGCTCCGGCATCCCCCATCCCGCCGGGAAGCCTCGGCCGGCTCCCAGCCCCCGGCACAGCCCGCGGGTCCGGCTGCCTCTGCCCCGGGTAAATGCTCCCCCTGAGGGCCGGGACGCTGCAACACCCCCAGGAGGGAGCACAGCCCGGAGGGAAAAACGGGGAGTTGAAGAGGTGGATAAGTGTCCCATGGCCTGGGTGTTGAATCCAGGTGGGTGGGAGATCGGGAATGCCTCCAGGGCTGTAGAGCTGCTGATCAGGGAACCGAATGCAGCCAGCAAGTGCCAGCAGGAAGGGCACATCCACCACTCCAATGCCACACTCTGGGTCTGAGCCCTTCCAAGCCTCCTTTCCCAGTGCACATCCCAGCAGATGCAGACACCTTTCCCAGCAGAGCAGCTCCTGCTCCCCCAGGACACAGGGCGGCCCTGGAACAGGAGCTATGGGCAGGGGCTGAGCCTGGCAGCAGGAATTAAACCCTTCTGCTGCTAAGCAGAAGCCAACAATTAATTGGTGGGCTCCACGAAGCCTCCAGAATTCCACGGAACTCTCCTACTCCTTAAGCATTCCCAAGCAGGGTTGGAGGACGTTCTCCTCACCTTGATCTTACCTGGGGCTGCTCAGACCTTCCCCGTGGGTCCTTCTTCAGCTGGGCAGCATCCCGGCCCCAACCAGGAGGGAAAAGTCACCAAGAGACTCTGGAAAATCCCCTTTGCAGGGAGAAAGAGGTTTGTGCTCCGGGGCTGAAGAGGCCTTTTGACACCAAAGCTGTGACAACCCTCACGTTGACGTTGCTTCAGCTACCCAAGAGATCTTAAATTAAACTGTTGCTTAAAATGGCTCCATCCACCCTGAGCAGGATCAGGGCAGGATTTAGTGTCCTTAGCCAAGGAGCTGCTGGGAGCCCTGGGCTGTATTTTTATACCTGTCTCACACCGGTGGGATGGTGCTGCCTGAGCAGCCCCAGGGGCTCGGCTGGAAGCCCCCAGGCACTTCCCAGCTGCCTTTATATCCAGGTGAATTGGCTTAGACAAATCAGTGAGGCTGCTGGTCTTGCCTTCTGGACAGGGCTTGGACACCTGGACTGTGCAGGGGCAGCCAATGAACTCTGTGATTCCCCCTTGAGAGGTGCCTTGGAGCCTCCATCCCACCTCCTCCCCTGGCAGGGGATTCCAAAGCCCTCAGGGCAGCCTTATCCCAGGAGTTGCAACAACTGGTTTCCCAAATTCCACATAAAACCTGACTGTTCTCTTACCTTCATCTTTAAAGGTTTTTTTTTTTGTGTGTGGTTGGTCAGTGTTTGTGTGCTTCCTGGGCTTCAGGGGCCAGCTGGGCCGTGGGATCTGGGAAAGGGCATTTCCAGTCCCAGGATCAGCTATTTTCATGCCAAAAAGGCAGGGGTTTGGTGCCAAGGCAGATCGTGGGAGGCCACATTCCCCATTTACAGCCACCACTGAGACGGAGTCCCAAAGGTCACTTTTGCTGCATCCTCGAACATGAAAATATGGAGCAGATGAGGGATCCCAGCTGTTTCCTCCGTGCTGGGAGGAGCAGGCTGGGAATCCCAGTGTTGAGCCTCAGGATCCTGGGATGAAGCTCCAGACTGTGATGCCAAACACCAGGATCCCAGTGCTGAACACGAGGATCCCAACGCTGATTGTCCAGAGCCCGGACACGGCGCGGCCACCGCGGTGTGACCCCGGTGTGACAACCCCTCCTGCCACTTCTGGCTCTGCCTGATCTCGGGGGAGGACGGGAGCAGATTTAGGGCTTAGGGAGTCACCCCCAGAGCCCTGTGCCGTAATCTGCCACCTGGCACAAGTGGGAGGCTCTGAGCCGGTTGTGTAATCCCGGGGCTGGGTGCCCAGGTAGGTGCTGAGGTGGGTGCCAGGGGAGGTGCCCAGAAGGGTGTCCGGGTCGATGCCGAGGTGGGTGCCAGGGGAGGTGCCCAGATGGGTGTCAGGGTGGTCGCCAGGGTGGGTGCGGCACTCCCATCCCCTTTGCCGGTGCCCTCGGTGGGGTCGGGAGGGTCCCCCCAGCACCGCGCGGTCCCGTTGGGGCAGCCGGGCCAGGGAGGGGACCGGCGGGGTGGCACCGGGGGACGGTTCTCGGCCAGCCTTCGGTGGCGAGGGGATTTGCAGAGCCCCCGGCTGCCACCAGGGGATGCCGGAGGCCGCGGGAGGCGGCGGCGCCTCCGGCCGGGACCGGGGCTGGGAGCGGCCGCGCCGGGAATGGGGGCTCGGGCCGGTGCCTCCAGCACTGCCCGACACCCCCCCGGCCCGCCGGGTCACCTCTGGAAGGGCAGCGGGCAGGGCGGGCTCGGGTCTTCTGTTTTATTATCGTCATCATGGTTATTATTTATTTTTTTTAACCCCGAGGTCCTAAATT